ATACCAAACTGCTGCTTCCTTCATATCTGTCAGAGTTTCTGAAGATCAAGGGAATGTGAGTGGAGTTTCAGTCGTTGAAGAACGCGGTGTTCTTTGTGAATCCACAAGAGATAGACGATTTCACAAAGCTAAGAGTTGCTGTAGAAGAGTGCAATCCAGAAGAGTTTTGGAAACTGCAGCTAGAAGTTGGTGCAGGAGCACAGAATCTAGGAGAGCTGTTGGAATTGCAATCGGGAGATCAGATAATACGTGTCGTCGTCTAGTCGGTAGACTGTAAGTTATAAATCGTTTATAGTGGATTGTTGACTGGCAAAGTGTCCGAAGTTTTTACCGAATTGGGGTTTCTCCGTGATCATACCATGCGTTGTTTATTGCTTTGTTTATTGTTTTTATATTCTACAGTATTCAAATATAGGTTAATTGAACTGATTACATAATCATTTAGAGATAATCAATTAGTGACTTGTTGTTAATTTATTAATTCCGCATAATCACCTATTCACTCATCTCTGGGTGTTGTTAGGGTCGAACTACGTATTTTCTGCTAGCATAAAAATGAGTTGAAATTTATTATCCCATTTTAACAACTTATTGCGTCGTTAAACAGTAAATTATGAAATACTACACAAATCGTATTGTACAAGTAACACCACCTTTAAAATGACGGAAATTTAAGTGGAATCAGCCAATGAAACAACTAAATGGAGATAACAGAACTCAAGGAGTTGAGAGGCTGTGAGATGGGCAGTTTAGATTAGCAATTGGGCTACAGACAAAAGTTTTGTGGCCACTGAAAATCCACATCCAGGGATCAACCTACCTACCTACCTAAGAAATTGACATTTCAAAGCCTGAAGAATGGATGGAACGAGGAGGCGCCGTTTGACAACCGTTATTTTGTAAAAACAAAGTTTTAAATAGTAACTTGTAGAAGAATGTGTGGTTAAAAAATAATTTTTTTTTAACTTACATGCAGAATAGTTTATTGTGTGAATGTGTGGTTGAAAATGAGTATGAATAAAAAATAGTTTTCAAATAATTGTCAAACAGGTGGTAAAGTTTAGGGAAAATAGCAAGAGGTCCCCCAACTCGACCTATGTTGCACTTTGATCCCCCAACCTTTCATTTTAGTAGCACTTAGGTCCTGAATGGACAATTTTGCCCTCATCTTTAATTTAACAAGCACACTGTTATTAGAAAGAGGAATTTACCCTTATCAATAAATAAATAAAAAGGATTTATGAAGCATCATAAAGTAACCTGGGAAATATCATATAAAGCACAACAACAAAGATTAGGATCTGTACTTGATTAAAGTAAACATGCTATACATGCTGTAGAATGATGAATGATGTTTAACTTCCAAATATACGAGAGATAACAACAACCAGAAACTGTCAAATTGACGCTCACAATTTCCAGTGTTCCAAAGCCGAGCATAGACTATCGAATATGGATAAACCGTATAAGATCTCCATAAGAGACGAAGAATTTTTTACTTAACCTTTGGGCATCACCCTTAGCCACGTGTCAATTTGGACCATTTGCCTGCAATTTGATTTCCGGACTGAAAAGTCTTCGCTTGGCATTGATGTGAAAATGGGCTACCAAGAGGAATTCATGACAATTATCTAGGCCGGTAAAAATGGCTCATATTGGTAATTAAGTTGTTAGATCCAAATAAATGACATCATAACTATGAATATCCCTAATTTGAGGGCTCAATTAGTCAGGTCTTGAATTTACTCTCCAGTGGTTATCAGTTCGAGTCCCCCTAGGGCCATTGAAATGAGTACCCGACCGTAAATTTCAGGGTCATGTGGAATTAGTCGATGTGCGCTCAAGTTAGCTCGAACATGCAAGGTTATAAAAAAAAAAGGCTTAATTTCACAAAATGTCCCTACGTTTCAATTTTTTTTGCATTTTCACCCCTATTTCAGCGTTTCATTACGGAAAACGTCATTTTTATCCTATTTTTAACATAAGATGACCAATATACTCTCATATATAGATAAAACAAAAAAGAAAAGAAAAGAAAATTAAAGAATAAATTGCAATCTTACTTCTAAACTTTTTAAAAAATATAAATGAGTCCAAAATTTATGAAAATATTAAAAAAAAAAAACTCTTCTATTCAAATTTTTTTTTCTGGCTTATTTTCCCTCTTAAATTTCCATCCCTTTTTTCTCCCTCTCCCACCATAACGCCAGGTCATCTTCTAGAGCGGTGTTTACCCGTGGTGAGAGATGATAATGATGCAGTGGTACCAGTGTACCACCTCCAGTCGCGTATAACAGCCTGTTGAAGACCTCTTTATTGCCAATAGAGACAGAGGAGGAGTGGCGGAAGAGGAAGGAATTATAGACCTTAAGGCGAATGGAGGCTAAGAGGAGGAGGTTTGAGAAGCAAAGGATATTGAAGGGTGATAAAGAAAGAAGGGAAATGGTGGCAATTTGATTTTGGAGGAGAAGAGAGAAACTGAGGTGAATTTGAGGGTGAAATTGGATAGAGAAATAGTTTTAGCAGCTGGGAACAAATGGGAGGGGCCGCCAATCCGACTGTCTTCGTGGACTGCTGCTGCTGCTGCTGCTGCTGCTAGACAGGCCCTTATTGGAGGAGGGATTGATGCTATAGTGCCAAAAGGGAAGAGTAGTGGTGGGACGAAAGGGTCTAGCAACCAATATCTCAAGGGTCATTGGAGTCACAAGGGGGGAGCTCTTCAAGCGTGTCTGAATTGGAGAGTAAACATCTGCAAGGTAATTCAGTTTACCTTTCCTTTCATTTGCCTACTTATTTTTGTGTTTAATCAAATAGTGTGAGTTTCTTTTCGAATTCTGACGTGATTTCTTTATTATATTTTAAGGTTCAAATGAATTTAATCTGCTTGAGATAATCGAAGATTCCCTTGTTTGTCATTTCTTGAGCAATAACCAGCAATTCATTATTCTTGATATCTGTCTGAGGTTGATATTTGGACTCATTTGCATTTTTCAAAAAGTCGAGGAGTAAGTTTGCAATTTATTCTTTATTTTTCTTTATTATTATTTTTTTATCTATATAGGAGGGTATATTGGTCATTTTACATTAGAAATAGATGAAAATGACGTTTTTCGCAATAAAACGTTGAAATATGGATGAAAATGCAAAAAATTGGAACGTAGAGACGTTTTGCACACTATATGTCAGACGTATGGAAGTTTTGTGCAATTAAGCCTAAAAAAAAATAACTATGAATCTTAGGTTTAAATTGTTCCGACAAAAGCCAGTGCATTAACCTACAAATTTTTCCATATCTACACTCGTTCAAAATTAATTGCAATTAGCTCCCAGATAAACAAGTTGTAATTTCGGGTCTCATTTAATGCATTACCTACTGATCATTAACAGAATTGTCAAAGCAACTGAAATTTCGAGTTCCATAATGCAATAGGCATTTTATATTACAGTTATTTTAGCCATTCACAATGACACGAGACATGGAACAAAAAAGTAACATCTCATCGTACCCATCCAAACATACAACCAGCTAACATCAAGTAATCAAAAACGAGGGGCAGATATAACAGGACAACTTGCTTTCAAAAATGTTTTACAACACTACAACAATGAATTTCTCTCGGCTCAATCTAAATTCCAGTCAAGTAGTAGCAGCAGTGTTCCACGTGTTCAACGATCTCGATATACAAAAAGTAAATGCTTATCAAAGATTCACTTCAATTAAAAAAAAAAATACCATACATGCATTTGAATAGCATCCAATCACTCTAGCAAATGTATGAATACAAATGTTTAACATCCAAATATATGGAAAAATAAACAATAATGAGAAATGGCCAAATTGGCACAATTAACACGATGTTTCAAAGCCAAGCGGCCCAAGCATGAGACCATCAAATATGGAGAAGACGTTTAATATCTCCAAACAAATACTAGATTATATTGAAAGGACTATAGGCAAGTCCAAACATATGAGATGAGTTGCAACTACAGGATCAAAATATATGTTAATGAAATAGAAACAGAACACCTTTAAGCAGAAATTGAAGATAAGGAACAAAGTTTTAACACTGTAACAACGAAAGGATTACAGCTCAAGTATGTATTCGGCCATGGTTGCGAGAGAGAACTGAATGACCATCTTCAGTAATTTGATCTCTAGAAAGCTACAGAGAAGGCATCCATAAAACATAAGACTGACGATATAAATAGGAAACCTGATCACATTAATCATTTCCTCACCTGAATTTTTACTCGCCCTTTGGGCATTCACTCACTATTGACTACGTGTCTTTTGGATGATTTGCCTAAAGTGATTCCCAGACGATACTCCTTGAAAAGCTATTGGCTTAGCATTGGATTTGAAAATGGGCTACCAAGACGAATTCATGACAATTATCTAGGCCGCTAAGAATTGCTCCATATTGGTAATTAAGCTGTCAGATCCTAATAAATAGCATCATTACTCTGAAATCTATGATTTAAATTTTCCGATACGACGCAAGTGAAATAACCTTCAAAATATTTCCCATATCCACACTTGTTTAAAGATAATCATAATTAGCTTCCAGATAAATAAGTTGTAATTTCGAGTTTCATATAATGCAATACCTACATCACATCAAAGAATTGCCAAAGAAATTATAATATCGAGTTCCTATTACCTACTTCACATTGCGGAGTTTTAGCAATTCATGATAACACGAGACTTGGAACATAAAGCTTACATCTCATTCTGGAATTATGAAACCCATCCAAACATACAGATAGCTAAAAGCAAGTAAAAAAAAACGGAGGCAGATTGAAATTTCATGAAAATAACAGGGAAATTGCCATTAATTGATCAAGAGAAGTCTATAGTGTTTTACAACGCTACAACATTGAATTTCTCTTCACCCAATCTAAATTCCAGTCAAGTAGTAGTAGTAGCAGTAATAATAACTTTGAATCAAGCTACAGAATTTTGTTCCCATTCTTAATTAAACTGAAAAAAAAAAATTAAATTAAGCATCACTACCCTGGTTGCGATCATTGGAAATATGGAGTCCAGGTTGAGCAGCACGCCGTCGTGTCCTGGAAGGCAGAATGTTATCCAAATCGACCTCGGCAAGCGGATCATCCGACAGATCACTATCAACACCAGACAATTCACTCTCGTAGTCAACACTGGAATCATCATCATCGTGGTCGGATTCCTCAATCAATTTCCCTTTCCCTTTCCCTTTATCATCACTCGCAATCCCCTTCCCCTTACTATTAACAATTGCTTCCTCACCATCCGACAGTTCATCATCATCGTCTTCTTCGCCTTCGTAATCTTCTTCGTCATCATCCTCTTCTTCATCTTCAGGATAGGAAGATTGCTTTAACTCGGCATTTTTTTCATCCCCAGCACATGAAAAGGCGTCATTGTGTGAGAGGGTTTCGAGTTTTTGCTTCTTGGTGGAATCAGCTTCATGTTCTTCTTTGTCTAGGGTTTCGTCGACGGATTCTGGGGGATCAGGCCTACGTTTTACAGTAGATTCGCGTTCTTCTTCGCCTGATTTCACGTCTGCCATTGTTAATTGAGACGGAAGTTTTCTAGAGTTGTGATTCAACTAGGGTTTTACCTGCGCAAGTTCATTCGGGTGACAATCAACAATTCCAGTGGGTTAAGATGGATAAATCAACCACAGTGGGCCGGCCCTTCCATTTGTAGCCCGTTGGTCTCTGTAATTTGGGAAATTGACACAAATAATAGTAGATTGGATAGTCTAAGGAAATGAGGAAATTAGATACTGTACTCTAAAACGAAAAAGAAATTGATTAATACATTTAAATCAAATTAAAGTTTTAATAAGTGTAATTATCACGTCCACTGAAAATATACCACTTGAAAGTCAACAAAATCGTTCCAAAGACTAACGGCCACACTTCCCATATAATATTTTTCACTTTTTAAATTTTTATTATTAAAAAGTTTTCACTTGATACTATATTTTCTGCTACAGTTATCCATTTTGAGCGATTTAAAATCTGTTAGAAAGCTTGCAATGTAGCCATAATAAATATGTTATGGACGAAGTTTAAATATCGAAAATTATTTTACATGACTTATTGAACGCAAAATAAATCGTAACTATTAACTTCATTTCTTGCGGCATTTTTGACTTGTTATTATGAAATCATCGTTTATCTATTTTTAAATTCGAAATATGTATTTCAAAGTTTGTCGTGAATACTTCAAAACGTAACAAAACATCAATCGACGAAGGAACAAAATAGCCCGTAAATAGGCCAAAACTGGTAACACCAAAACATAAATTAAAATAAAAAATATCTAAATTTTCCACTTTTCACATTCTCATTTTCGCAAAACATTAAGGGTCCGTTTGATTGTAATGGTGGAAAATGAGTGGAAAGAAAATGAATTACAAAGAAAATAATTGACTAGAAAATATTTTACAGAGAATTGTTAATTAAGTATGTTTGATTTGTATAATTTTTCACCCGAAATGTTTTTAAATTTTATGTTCGTTTGGCTTTATTTTATATGAAAATTGTCTATTAAAGTGATTTTTTTTCCACAATTGGTTATAAAATTTGTTTCCATTACCAAAAAATAAAAATAAAAAAAAGGAAAAAATTCGTCTTTTCCTTAAAAATTATTTTTTCATCAAAGTTTAGTTTTCGTTTGATTTTGTTTTACATGAAAATTGTTCATTAAAGTAAATTTTTTTTTTATAATTGGTAATGAAATTTGTTTACATTGCCACAAAAAAAAACCCCGGAATTGTTTTTCCCACAAAAAAAGTGGGAAAATCAATTCAACAAAAACAAAGAAAATGTGCACGTGTGGGGGTGGGAAGGAAAACCAATTCCTTAGAAAAAAAAATGGCTATCAAACATGACAAATTGATGGAAATGGAAAATGTTTTTCATTTTCCATGGAAAATATTTGCCATCAAACAAAACCTAAATGTATCGATTGAATTGATTCAAACAAATATGATTTGAATGTGAGATTAAAATAAGATCTGAATTTGTATATTTAAATTTTCAAAAACACACGTATCCATCTAATTAATTGCTCCACTAAGATATTGCGACTTTTTTAGATAATGTCACTTTTTCAAATTGTCACTTTTTCATATTTTCATTTATGCAAATACCTTGGATGTATCAGTTGAATTAATTTAAAAAATATGAATTGAATACAAGATTAAATAAGGTTTGAGTTCGTATATTTTAATTTTAAAAAAACTCACATGTACGTATCTAGTTAATTGTTTCAATGAGATACTGTGACTTTTTCATAGAAAAGTGACAAAATATCACTTTTACACACGCTCATTTTCGCAACATCTTGGATGCATTAATTGAATTGATTCAAATAAATATGAATTAAATGTAAGATTAAAAAAAGATTTCAATTAGTATATTTAAATTTCCAAAAACACACATGTATACATCTCATTAATTGTTTCAATGAAATACTTTCATATGTATTAACATAAAATAAGGTTTGAATTCATATATATTAAATTTTCAAAAATGCACACATATGCATCTAATTTATTACTCCAATGAGATACTGTAACTTTTTTTAGAGAACAGTGACAGAATGCGACTTTTTCATAAAACATTGACATAATTCACATTCTTATTATGCAAACACCTTACATGCACCAATGTAATTGATTCAAAGTTTTCTTTTTCATATGTATTAACATAAAACAAAGCTTGAATTCGTACATTCAAATTTCAAAAACGCACACGTATGCATTTAGTTAATTGTTCCAATGAGATACTATGATTTTTTTTTTGGACTGGTGAGAGAATTCACATTCTCCTTATGTCAAATGCCTTACATGTATCAATGATTTAATTGATTCGAAATTTTCTTTTCATATGTATTACCATAACACAGGGCTTGAATTTTTATATTCAAATTTCCAAAAATGCATACGTATGTATTTAGTTAATTGCTCCAATGATATAGTATAACTTTTTTTTATGAAAAAGTGACATAATTCACATTCTCCTTATGTCAAACATCTTGCATGCACAAATGATTTAATTGATTCAAAGTTTTATTTTCCATATGTATTACCATAAAATAGGGCTTGAATTGGTGTGTTCAAATTTT